AGCAGGAATATGAAAATAAAATGCCAGTTTCTTTAGTTAAAGGTGCATTAATTAAGATTTTACACATTGTCTGAATAATCAAGTTAAAATGGGACAAGACGTGATGAGTCTCAGCTGTACTAACCGCCTCCATGACACTCTGCTGCCTACAGCCCTTCTGTTGTTGTTCTAGCGTTTCCAAACCACATTGTCAAAATACAGTACATAAATTAGCCCCGTCTACCACCTAGTGAAGGTTAAGAAGCATTTTTCGAACTGCAAGTCATTTCAAACAGTCAGCCACTGAGAAACTCTCTAACATTTTCTACAGAGAGAGTGGGTCAAAGAAAGAGCAAAAACCAGGGTTATTATCACTTCACTTTTCGAGATGGAGAGGGCTGAAAGCAACCAAAGCGCTCAGATTGCATTCAGATGTGGCCTTCTTCCTTCTGGATGTGTTATCTGAAGCTTTTGTTTTTATTTTTGTAACATTAGCGACCTAGCATGGTCATGATTTAATATGATTTGAATTTAGGGAGTAATTTGAGCTTTGTGTAATATTAGCAGTATCCAGTGGACTGACACATTTACAGTTTGTCCCAACCAGACATCGGTAATGTGGTGCATCGCTGCTAAGAAGCAGGTTGTGACGGGAGGGGCAAAGAGTGGTTAGGAGCGACTATGGTGTCAGTTTGTTTTGAGTCTCACTAGACCCTCTAGTCTGAAAAGAAATTAGGTAGAGTAGGTTTAAATTCAGTTGTATTTTAAAAGGTTCTTATTCTTGTGTCTTGAGACCAATTCAGGGCAAGTGGCTTAGTGGATTACAATGACCCAATAAGGTTGAACTCCATTAGTTCAAGCACATTCATAAGTCTACTTATTGTATAAACCCATCTTTCCTTTTTCAATTGGCCTTCTATACCCTGAAATATAGAGCTTCCTGAATAGGTAAGGCTAAGCTGCATAAGTTCAGGATTCATTTATTTTCATCTTTTAATCAGAGTCCAAAGCCTAAAGCTGAAACCTCCTCAAAAACATAAACTGGCCATAGATTTGCATTAATGATATTGAGCCTCCACTTGGCAGGTGTTCAATACGCAGGCTAGAGCCAGCCTCCACTGTTTAGCTACTTTTCAAACTTTAATGATGTGCTAATGAAAAGACTAGTCAGCACACCTATTTTCCCCTTAAGCAGACCCTATAACTACTGGACATAAAACAGCTCTATGATAAATGCAACAAGTACTTTTAATAACACACATCCTCAAGCTCCCACTCTGTGCATTGATACACACACATTATATACTCTGCATACTGTACACATGCCCCGCTATAAGCTCCATAATCATCAGTAAGACTCATTATCACAGTTATCACCCAGCCCCCTCAACGTCCCTGCACTCTCTCTACTCAACCACAGGCTTATGCACACACATAACATACACTCACATGCTGAATATGGGCCATCAGACTGACTGATCCTCCTCAGAGGGGGGGCTGGTAGCCGCAGTTCTAGAGGCTGATGAACATGATGATCTGTTCTCCTCTGTGGTCATTACTCACCAAAGACAGAGGCCAGCAGCCTCACTCACTCCCTCACCGTGTGCACACAAATGTCTCTTTCCTGCTCTCAGACTCACATCACATATCTGTCACAGCCGCCTCTGCCAAATCTCACAACCTAATTTTAAAATGCGGTGTTATTTTTGTCATTTGAATTCTTACAGTTAAAGAACAAGGTTCAGCTTTTCTATATTTTTCTTATTGTAAACAAATGCCACAAAATGACCCAACGTGTTTACAATACTTTATGGCATCTCTGCCTCCTCTGGCTCTTGTTGATTCCTTCTGAAATTCTGTAATTTGTACTCAAATGTACAGTAAATAAAGTTTTATTTCTGTAACTCAAACTGTTTTCAACCACAGATTAATACACACCAGTGAGTATTTTTGGCAGCAGGTCGGTGTCTGTGGGTTTGATTTAAAATAAACAATTACCATGCCCACATTCATCATGATGAAGCAGCATGTCATCCCGTGCCACCGTGCGGGCCACTGTTGTGTTTTTAATTGTTTCTGGACAACAATGAAAATCTCTGGCAGAAAGGAATAAGCTATATCTGACTTTGGCACATGCACAACCATTTTTATAAGCTTAATTAATTGTTGGTTTTGGCATTTTATTGGGGTATGTTAACATTAAGAGAAAATATTAAATATTACCAGCCTTGAGTGTCTGAAGAAACTCTACTGCTCCATTTTACTTGATGTTTTTCCCACAGCACTCATACAGTAGTTTTTCCCTTTTGCCCTCTGTCAACACATGCCCACATGCCTCAGCTCAGCCTGCAGCAGTACGCCCCTGCCCTTCCCATGTGTTTGCATTTCTGCTCAGGAACACAGTGATCCAAAGGAATTAAAAATCACAAAATGAAAGAGGAGGAAGCAGTGTCAGTTCCAGCACATGTCACATAGAGATACATGTACCTTCAGCTCAGTTCTGCAGGATCATTACAAAACAACAATTTCATGCTCTTTAATAGCTCCTTTTCCTCTGCACTTCCTCACACACACACACACACACACACACACACACACACACACATATCAGAGACGGACGAGACAAGGAGAGGGAGCAGAGTCACTTGAACTTTTCTGTTTCCTGGCCATTTCCCCAGTCAGCCAAGCAAAACCACAAGGAAACAAAGAGATATTTCGGAGAAGAGATGTGTGAGCACATACACGAACACGGGCACATAAGTATACACACTTTCAATCATGCAAGTGTGACTGTATAAACTGGCTAAATCTGAAACGCTGTTTGGTACCTATGTTACGTATCATTTCTTAAATGAGCATTCCACACCGTCTGTTTCCTCCATGATGACCTACTATATGTTGTGTTCCAATCTGACTGCAGCCATCTGTCAAATTAAACATTAATAGAGATCAATAATAACTGGAGTATGAGTTTAAAAATGCTAATATCTGAAATGAGATAAATGTGGCTTTACCTCCATGCAGATACCGTGTCTGTGCAGAGTTACTGTACCTGTACATACTGTAAATGCTTTCCAAAGGTTCCATTTTTTACCATCCACCACTTACACGAGGCTCACATTTTCAAATGTAGCCGATATTTATCTATGTGGAAAATGTCAAATTGGTGCTGACAGGCAGTGTCAGAGAGAAAACAATGTGCTTTCAGATTTAGCTGGTTTACAGCGTCACTGAACGACCCAGTGACACTGGTCAGACTCGCATTGATGGACAATATATGTCAGCTTATTGGCTTTACAGAAGTGGTGTCAGGAGTGTATTTAATATATTGATTTTGAACCCAGTTTAAGCATCGTTTAACTATCCCCCTGAAAAGAGAAAGAGAGGTGGTGAATAAAGAGCAAGTGTTTGATAACAGCAGGCTACAAGTCCCAGATGTATTGTACCATAGCTTTGTTATTCCCAAGAGGGGAACCTGTAAATGCTGCCAAGTGAAAAGGTGTTAATGTGTCATTGAAAGAGATATATGGCTACACCCATATACAGTACACTTACACACACATACGAGGACGTGTCACACCCACACACAGCAGTCGTGACATTAGTAGATACAATTTAAAATGGGCAAAGGGGAGTGGGCATCA